AATCACCCCTATATATATATATATATATATATATATATATATATATATATATATATATATGTGAGATCATGTGAAACTAAGGGTTTTTCGTAAGACCCGTATTTGGATTAGATCTACAATCTAAACATTTATAATCACAAAATTGCCACGAGACTTCTCAATAATCATAAAACTAGATTATGACTTCATACATGTAATTAGATTCAAAAATGGTTTTAAAATGTACTCAAATCGGTCAAAAATTTTAAAGTTTTGTGGTCGATTTCTATCGCACGTGTGGTGCATAGAGTTTGGTCTCTTAGAGTGACGATTTGCTTGATTACTTAGTTTGAATCTAGGGACCTTTGAAACCGACATTGCCATAAAAGTTGTCCCGAACACCCATAAATATCATTAATATAACGACTCAGAACTTCGTTGATATATTCGAGTAGAGTTTCAGCGGTCTAGAATCCCTCAATACCTAGGTCGGTAGTAGATTTTCATGCCTTGCCACCATATATATTCGAGCATCACATGATTGGTTTCTAATGAGATGGTAAACGTTACATCATTAAACCAAATAAATTAGTTTTGAATGGTTTTTCGGTAACTCTTAGCTCTTTAAAGCAAATCCAATAGTTTCACACGGTTTTTGGGAAGTTCTCATATCTTTTAAATGAAATCAAATGGTTTCGGATGGTTTTTTTGTGTGTAACTGTTATGTCTTTAAAACATAACAAACTAGTGTCTGACATCGCGCGTTGCGCGATGACGATATTTTTTTTTAAATTATTGAAGTTAGCTAAATGAATCGATGATCACATTTATATATTAAATTAATAAGAATCAATATTACCTTTGATATATGAATCTACCCACCTGATTTTGATTATCCATATATTTTATACGAATTTTACAAAAAAACAAATTAATCCCAAATACAATGTAAACAACCTCGAAAACACACTGTTTCGAGCCACTTAGGGTCATAACTGACTTTCGACCCTTCATGAAAGTGGTTGCAAGATACGAGCTTATTCCGACTTACAGTTTGTGAGATGTACATTGGCAAAGTACGTAAGCTGCACTGTCTGTAAAATCCAATTTCACAATTTCTCAACTAACCTTTATGATCCCAACTTCGCATATTCAATCAAACGGGTAATTTTCTCCCCGACTACGAGTCCCATACTACCCCCATAAACTGAGAATCCATAACTCCAATTGCTACGGTAATACCTTTTAGTTGTCATATGCTTGTTCGAACAACCTCGGTTAATCTTGTCTTTCTTATTATGTTGTACTAAAAAATGATTAAACCTCGTGTTTTTGGTCCTTTAGTAAATATACTATTATTATATTCAAGTATTATGTAGATAGATTTATACATATTAATCATAATTTCATTTATATAAGTGAGTTTCTAAATATAATGATTATTATATATTCGTTAATTATAAGAAATAAAGAAAATT